GGGTTCCCCTTTGGAACTTGGAGGGGGGGACACTCAGCCTTCCCCGCGCGCCCTGACCACGCGAACTGACGCGCCACGCCCTCCTGAGAAGCATGGCCAGTAAGTGCTACTGACCTCAGGCATGTTCCTCTGGAAAGCCTGCAGGGACAGGACCATGGGAGCAGCCACTGCCCAGTTGTAATACCTGGAAGAAGCAAGAGGGATGGGAACATCACCACTCCTGGAGCTAGGGCTGTTTCCAGATCACCATCCTGCAAGCATGGCCAGTAGGTCCCCTCCCACAACTACTGCGATATAATCATTGTCTGGGATGGAGTCACACTCCTACAGGAGTGTTTCTGTAGGGACAAAGGGGCCACACTGGTCATCTTGGGATGAAGCAGCAGGAAGAGCAGGCCACTCACTTCTTGTTGATCAGTATCACCAGGTTCGGGTCATCCATAAGTCCGGGATTCTCAGCAAACTGCTGGTAGGAGACTATGTGCTCCATAAACTTCTCTGGTGGGACAGAGGCTGTGTCATGCCACTGGGTGTATATAATGGATTTCAGGACAGCAGATTCCCCCTCCCCTCCCCTCCCACCTACCGCAAGAGATCTGCCTGCTGCCCCCCAGGCCTCCGCACAGCGACAGAGCAATTGCAGGCATCAAATCAGAGTCGGAGTCCATGGGGCTGTCAGGGGGCAAGTCAGATGGCAGCTGGACACACAGAGGGTTGCTGGGGTCTGTTACAGGCTTTGAACTCTGCTCTGTGTCACTACCAGCAAAAGAAACGGGGGCAACATCAGGCAATAGCTTTAGACATACCTCCGTCCTTTGCTGTAAGGGAATTGCTCAGGAAGGTCTGAGCTTGGCCAGCTGGGGCAACCCATACATCCTGGGGAAAGAGAGAGCCACCTGCTCCTCACCCAGATTGGAGAGGTCTTCCAGGTAAACATCACTGGGACCCAAGTGAGGACTTCTTTTGATGGATCCTCAATGCACAGACAGAAGGGAGAGAGCTTAGCTGAATTACCTTTCCAACCATCTCAGCATCTATTGAGAAAGCTAACAGCATATACCTCTATCATATTCATATATCATATAAAGAGGGCATCTCTTTTCCTACTTGAAAAGCTGCCTTAAATCAACAGCAACAGAAGTGCCTCAAGACACCTGCACTGGCATAAGACCACTTGCCAAGAGGACACAAAGGACAGGCCAGGGTCCTGCCTATGTGCTGCTATGACAATACAAAGGTGCCGTTTGAAGTTAGCACCATGCAAGATAACAATTTGTGATCTCCCTTTTTGTACAGTGAGGAATCCCAAGCGTCTCTTCTTCAGGGATACAATTTTGTTCTGAGTTTATGCTGGCTGGAAGAGTAAAGTTGGTTAGGACAGGTAATAACATGAAAGTCCTTAAATACACTGTCAAGGGAGACATATGCATGCTTTGCTCCGTGTGATTTTCCACCTGACTTGGCATGCTCAGGATGAAGACACAAGTCAGGCCAGGTGCTGCCAGACACTTCAAATTAAGGTATAGTCTACACTGCTGAGAAATCTTGTAACCATGCAAAAGCAGAGACATCCAAGGATGGACTTCAGAAAACATAAGGCACAAAAGCCTTCCTGGGGATCTGGGTGGTCACTGAAAGGAGGAAACCCAAGAAATGTCTCTTCAAAGCAGAGGAGCTGGTAGCACATGGAGAGGGCAAAGCAAATACATCCCACCTTGAATACCCAGGGCAGTCATGAATGGGTTAGACTGAATAAACAACCCAGCCCCTACCATCCAAGTCAGATACATCCACAGGCTCAAACACCACTTCCAGCAGCACCAGTCACCCACTCACCTCGTCTCCTCTGTCTTTCCAGCTGGGGCTCAGGGCCCTCCAAGCCCACCTGCCTCAGAGCAGCAGCTCCCTCAAAGGGGTCCACATCTGGCTGAACCTCTAGCACAACACTCCCACCTCTCTCCCGTTTCTCTTGTGGGGCTGAGGAGGCCTCCAACAAGCTCTCTGCCCCCACCACACTGGGGATGTCCTTCAGTCTGGGGAGGCCGTTTTCATCCCAGGGTGTGGGTGTTGGCTTAACAACAGACACAGCGGAGGAACAAGGTAGACCCCGATGTCCCACTGGGTGTGGACCTCCTCCCAGACCTTCAGAGGTGGCAACAAGATTGATTGCCTCATCCACTGGGACCGGTGTCACAGAGACAGTAGTTGCTGCAGTAGCAAAGGTCTTTGCGGACTTGGCTGGTTCAACTCGTTCTGATTTATTCACCTCAAAGAAAGCAGAAGAACAGGTCTGAGGATTGGAAGTTGCCCAAAGCATCAGGCAGAAGAGGCCAGCTTCTCTAAGGCCACCTGGCCACAGCCTCCTCCACTTTCTGCAGGCCTTTCAGTAACCCCCTTCCCACCAGATGCTAGAGAAGAGCAAGAGCAGGGACTCACCTGAGGGAGCTTTCCCCAGGTCCACTGCACATGGGATTCAGCCCCTAGAGTAAAACTCTCCTGCGGTCTGATCTCCAGCTCAGAATCACTTTTGGGAGAAGGTGGATGGCTCAGGGTGGGGCTACAAGAAGAGAAGGGAATGTTGGACCTCATCTACCCTACAGCCCCATGCTTTTCTGTCACTGCAAGAACATTTACGGCCAAGAACCCTGTAAGGTTGGTTTCCCATAGAGTCAGTTCTGCCCCACTTACAAATGAGCAAGACCTATGGGAAGCTGAGGCCCAAGAAAGCAAAGTGCTATGCCACCGGTTGTCCAGAAGCAGCTCAGAAGCAGAGACAGGAAAGCCCTGTGCATGCAGGCTTCTTGCATCTGTGACCATGGCCAGAAGTGTCCCTCATTGGCTCCAAGCTTTCCTCCAGCCATACCAGAGGCCAGAAAAACCCTCCTCTCCTGACACCCCCAAATCCCTTTTCCTTACCACCTTCCCAGCCACAAGGCACATCCCCTGCTCTCAAAGCTGAGCAGATTGCCTTGGCTCTGCTCGTTACCTGTCCACAGAGGCCAGCTCCCCGTCAGAGTAATGGTGCATCTCTGGGGACTGCAACAACCTGGTTTCTTGTAGAGGGAGATCAGCGAAGGAGAAATACACTGAATCACTGCAAAGGAGGAAAGAGGTCAGTTATGCACCAGCATAGGCACCAGCCTCCTCACCTGGAAAGCTGGCAATACCCAACTTCACCATTTCCACTGGCTTTCTACTCCATAGGAGGCCAGGGTCCAACTCAAAACCCTATCCCCATGTTTCAGTACTGCTGGGCATCATCAAGCGAACATACAGGCTTGACCCATCGCATCGCACTGCCGAGACCAAGCCACTCACCTGGAGGCTGGCAGCTTGCACGGCTCCTCCACGGACATCTCACTTTTGGTATCCTTACAGCCTTCTAACTTGGAGTCCAACACCTCCTTCCGCCTGGGCTTCCTCCTGCATTGCCTCCTCTTGTGCAGGGTCGCTTCAGTGCTGAAGGCCTCCTGCCCATGAAAGGGCTGAGTGGCATCCTCTGGGCTCTCCTCCGTGGGGATGGGGGATGTGCAGAGGCAGGAGGGGATGCTGCCCTGCAACAGGGATGGAAGAGCCCATCAGCTCCAGTACCCTCTTTTCCAGCCTGGCAGCTCATGGGTCTTGTCTATGCAACATAAGCCACCAGCACAACCAACACCACCGAGCCATCAGCTTGGAGGTGGTTTCATGGCTAGGCCCAAAAGGAAAGCTTTTGTACATGCAAGTAAAAAAAAAAAAAAAACCACCACACCCCAAACACAAAAAAACCCCAAACCAAACAAAACCAGGGTTATCCAGCCACAAGCTAAACACGCCTTTAACATGGACAAGGAGAGACAGGCAGGAGATGGCACTACGAGACCAGAATTACAAAGGCTGCAAATGGGATTCGACTCTGAAGCTCTCTCCCTGCTCTCAAACCCAGCCCAAGCTAGCAGCAACCACAAGTCAGCCTGGGAGAGAGCTGCCAAGATTTCTGGAACACACAACTAGTCTCATGCTGCTTCCCAGTAGAGCGGGCAACCTGCCACAACATCTGGCTCACTCTCATCCCTGTCACAAGATCCCCCAAGAGACCAATCTTCAAGATATCTGCCTCACTGGCCAGCAGCCATGCCCAGGGAGGGAGGACAGTCTGGGATGCAGATATTTGGTCTAATGCTCCCTTAGGGTGCTCCACTGCCCAGATTCTCCACACTGTTTACTAGGTCATTTGAGTAGGAACCTTTCTGGACACACAAAACATCAGAGGGGATAATGGAGTCACCCTGGGGAAGAAAAGAAGTCCAAACCTGGTCCTTCAGCATCAAGCCTGCACTTCCAGGTGGTCACAGTAGGACACAGACCAGCAGCACCTTTTCATCACCAACCTCATTTTCCTCTGACTCCTGGACAAAGAAGGCCTCTCCATTGTCACCCAGCTTCATGTGCAGGTCTACAGGCTCCCCATTGATTTCAATGTCAACCTGGAAAGTGGCAGAAGCAGCCTGTCCATCTGAACCCACTCACCCATCAGCATACAGGAAGGCACTTCCCCAGGGAGGGGATGGGTTGGGGTTGCTCACAGGGCTGACAGCCACCCACCCTTTGAGGCAAGGGATCTCTCCCAATTTGCCTGGGAAGCACAGTCATCCCTGGAAGAGGATGGGTTCCATTTGGGTCATCCCCTCCAAAAACTGGCAAGCACCCCTTCCAGCAGGGCTCCTATTCCCCTCAAACAAAGTTCTTCCATAACCTGTGGGTTATGGAAGATCCCAGGTGTGGAGACACCAGAGAGGAAGCATAGTCCCAGGGCAGGCACCACTTACCACCTTCTCCTTGGAGCGCAGCACACCCAGCTTCCCAAAGCGCACGTGAAATGGGGAGCACTGGAAGGAGTTATCAGGCTGCCTCACCACGACCACATCGATGCAGCCTGTCAGGGTGGCAGGGTTCAGACCCCGGTACAGCTCCTTCACTGTGACGAAGACTGTCTCAGCAAGCTGCCCCATGTAGTTCATTGCTTGAGACTGCAAGCGAGAGACAGGAATAGACTCAGGTCGGAGAAAAGGGGCTCCAGCAGCTAAATGCAATGTGAGTTTACTCTATGAGAGTCACTTCACAGCTGCAAACACAGCCCCATCATGGGCACAGGTAAGCCTCTAGGGAAACTGAGGCAAACACATGAAAGACCTTGATAGAGATCAGCCAGGACCTCTGTGAGTACCAGAAAACAGGACAGAAGCCAGAGCACTAGTTATTTCATCCAGCTTGGAGGAGAGAGAGCTTTGCCATTGGGATGCACCACACATACCCTTGAGAGTGCAAATGCTACCTCCCAGAAACACTTTGCAATCAAGCTGTCAACATCGCATTCAAACAAGAATTTGGTTGGCAGGAGACCTCCTGCCCTGCACTGTCCTAAAAAAAACAAACAATCAAACAAAAAACCCCCACCAAACCAAAACAAAACCAACCAACCCCAAAAAACCCCACACACCTCAGGGCAGAGAGGTGGGAAGTCCGAGGAGCTGCTGCATACACCACATGATCTCTTTGAGCAACGTTCAAACCTAACATTTCCTGCTCGGGAGGGAAGGCATCCCACCTGCATTGCTGAATCGGCCAGGCATAGCCCTTGTTAAAGTCAGAACTCCCTGGTCTCCATGCCTTGGCCTCTGCCACCATCATCCACCTTCCCAGGGAATCCCAGCAAAGGGGCCATGCTGCCTGGAGGACACCCGGACAGTTCTGCAATGCTGTTTTCACAAGGCACTGCTGCACTCCAAGGTTGCATAGGTCCTGTTTTTCATTAGCAAGAACACATGGAAGGAAAGCCTTGCCTGCTTCCTGCTCATCCCCTTGCCCACTCACATCCTCCAGCTGCTCACTCTGAGTAGAGACTGCCGTGCTGGAGGAGGGGCATGGCTGCCCTGCACACAGGCTCCAAACAGCTCTCATGCAGCTTCCCTTCCTGCAGGCCACCACTGGCAGCTGCGTCCTAGTCAATGCATTGAAATCCCTCGTGTATTTTCTTACAGATCTGTGCTGGGCTGCTGGTCCCAGCCCGTGGGCCAGAGGAGCTCCTTGCTCCATGTACTCAGCACTCAGCATCAGCAGGACGACGGTCTTGGTATCAGTGCATCATGCCAGAGGCTGGGAACCACAGAGGCTGAGCTCAGCTTCCCAAGCTGCCAGCTCTGCACCCCACCTTACCCCAAGGAGAGAATGAGGAGACAGGATGGCCACTTGAGAAGGACCACAGATAAGCTAAAGGAAACCTCTTGTGCTGGCAACACAATCAGCCGATGGCATGGCATCCCTGGGGGCTCTCAGCACACACCCAACCCAAGGGACGACCGACGAGAGTTGGTTCCTTACCCAAAGGGACGAGGACAAGCAGGTGCCACCCAATGAGCCCTCTGCCCCAGTAGGCACCCAGCCTCTCTGATCTGTTTTGCACAAACTCATCCCTGTCCCGTTCCCAGACATCCCTCCAGGAAGGCAGACTGCTTGGGGAGACACAGTCCCCACTCCATGTCCTGCCCCCGCCCCGCCTCTCCCTGACAGCCAGGAATAAGCCTAAAGCCCAGATCCTCCCCAGGGCAGTGAGGACATCAGGGAAGTGCTAGCTGGTTCCTGAAGCTTCGATCCCTCCATCAGCTCTGCTGCGAGCAGGGCCACCCACCAGCCTGCTGAGCCCAGCTTTCCCAGGCATCGCTGCTGTTGTGGCCAGCCCTCCAGCTGCCTTTCCTGTTGTGCTGCAGGGCCTGGTAGCAAACAGGAGAGTGCTCCTCACTACAGAGGGGGGGATTTTCGGAGAGGAGGAACAATCGGGCTGGCCCCAATGATCCCTAGGCAGCTCTGATGGCTGGGGTATACACTGAAACAGACCTAAAAAGTGCATAGGGAAAATCCTGGGCAGATAAACCTGCACAGCCCGTGGGGTTTGGAAAGAGTCCCCAAGAACAGCCCCACGCTGAGCAGCATCTTCACAGTGAATGCAGGGTGCAAGGGCTTAAGACAGTGCTGCAGCCACCCAGCTAAACATGCTGCTGAGTGCCTCGTGCCAGGGCCACATCCCCTCTGCAGAGCCAGCGTCCCCCCCCCCAGGACTTTATGCCCCATTGCCTCAATGCACAGCTGCCCCCTCCCCAGGCATCTGCCTGCACATTGCTGGGGACCCAGGCAGCAGGAAAAGGAGGGCTCTGGTACAGTTTTCAGCTTGGTGAATGTAACTCCCTGTGGGTTTCACCCAGAACAACTGGAGACAGGCAGAGAACAGAGAGAAGAGGCTCGGACTTCTCACAGCTCTCAGCCCCACCATGGATGGGGCAGGCCCATTAGGGAGATGAAGAATAAATTATACTCTGGAGAGAGATTAATAGGTGGACAGGGCAGGAGAAAGGGTTTTCAAGCCACCCCAAGGACACCAAGCCACACTCAAGAAATAAACCCTACAGAAGAATGGGACATCCCCACCCCTCAACCCCAAAACCAGCAGGATCACAGCCCTTCACCATGCAGGTCTTGTGGAGCACAAAGGGGGCATTCCTTCCCTGTGAAGGCAACACAGCTCACATCCACCTCTCCAGCTAAAAAGAATCCCCAAATAAGCCAGGTATTTTGCTAACACCAGCCTGCTCTGCTCCTAGGTAGCAGCAAGCTGGGCCACCCCACAAGCAGCGCACCCTTCCCACCCTGCACATCCATGCTCCCCATCCATCACGTGCTGCAAACTGCCCAGGACTTTCCCCATTACCTGATTAGCTACTGAACCTCAGCACGTCCTCAACTTTGGGGCAACTACCCCAGAAGCTGCTCTCTGCCAGCAGGAACACTCGCTCACCCTCAAGCTCCTCCTCTCCGTACTGCTTCCTTCCTCTCACCTGAGCAAGGGGAGGGCCCCATCTCCCGAACAGCAGCCAGTCCCCACGCCGTGCCTCCTGCTGAGGCTATGAGGGCTCCTGGGAGGCCGGAGGGTGGATGTGGGGAGGCAGCTGACACCTGTACGGAGCAGCTGTACCTTACTGAAACCAGTTCGTTTGCTCCAGCAGTCCCGGGCAGAGCTGCCAACTGCCTTGCACCGATGGACATCCTTCCCCCCTCCTCCAACCCACCATCTCGCAAGGACACTGCAGCCCGACCCACCAGGCTGGAATTTCCAAAGACAGTTCTTTCATTTTCCAGACCAGATCTCCCAGTGTTTAACCCCTCAGGGCACAAACTATACAAAGCCCCAGCTCTCAGGACCCCAGGGAAGACTGAGCCCTCTGGAAAAGGTGCTCACAGAGGCTGAGTGCGCAGCTCTGGGAAAGATCTGCCCTTTAAAAGCTGCCTTGCAATGGCTGGAGACCATCCTCACACAGCTATGGTTGGGCTGAGGACAGTTCAGAGTGGGAAGTATCTTTCTAGGGAGCCTATGCCAGATGCTAATTTCTACCTTCTCCATAGGGCTATAGGGGTGGTTATAGGGTCACATGGACTAGGACCACAAAGGGTGGGTAGGGTGTAATTGCTGTGTTGCTCACTTAATTGCCCCTAGATGTAAGACTGGGTGCACCTTGGCCAGGTTTGGAGTAGGAAGAATGTGGAAGGTGCTGCTGTGTGGTGCTTGTAGGTAGGAATGAGGCTTCACCAGAACCCAAGGCTTTGGGGGATTTTAAGGGATAATTTCAGCTGCCCCTCAATAACTGCAAACTTTGGAAGACTGAATTTAGGTGACTTTATTTCATTGTGCAACCTGGGACTGGGACCTCTTGCACAAATCAGCCTGTGCCCCTGGGCAAGCAGGGGAAGGCAGCTTTTCCTACTGGGGCAGCACCAGCTGGGACACAGCTAACGTCACCCACCCTCCTGCAAAATCCTCCAGGGCTGCTGCTGTGCCATGCTGTATGCCGCAGGGAGCCTGGCCTGCCTGCTGCACCCACCCTCAGCACACCTGGGTGAAGCCCTCGGGGCTCCACAGACCTGTCCAAGCAGGCTTTCCCTCCCCTTCTCCCAGCCTCCAGCCCTCCCTGCCCTTCCCCTGCACCACAAAGTCCAGGGTGCAGGTACCCTGCACCCCAACAGTCCCTGCCTGTGGCCTTGTTTCACCTCTTCACCTCCATCATTGTGGCTTTCTGACTTTTGGTTTTGTTTTTTGTTTTGTTTTGTTTTGTTTTTGCTTTCCACCCCCGCCTTACGAAAGGTTTGGGACACAAAGAAGCATCAAGCATCATTTTACACAGGCACCACCAAAGCCCACAGCGAATTAACAAGACATAAAGGCAGGGTGTGGGTGGCCAAGGCCCAGGGGCTCCTCTGCCCTGTGTTATCTCCAGTGGAACGAGAAAACAGAGCGCGAGCTGAAAGAAGAACACAAAAAACCAGAGGCTTTAAGAAAACTGAGGCTTTCCAGATCTCAATCAGCCTGACAGCAGTGGGGAAGCGACACAGGAATAGCCAGGTGGATGCAGGTAAGAAACTGAAGCAGTGGGGTTTTTTTGTGCCCCCAAAAAAGTGCATTGGCTCCCACCAGACTATGACTCCCCAAGGGCAGTGATGTGGCTGGGGGGGGCTGCTGTGAAGGTGATTCCCCAGCACCCTCTGTGCCGTTTTGGAGTGATGCAGATTGAGTGGCTGCAGCTCCTGGTCTGCACAAAGTGCTGGTACCACTTTGGGGACTAAGGCTTTTCTGCTGGTGTGTGTGCAGGGCTCTCCCACCCATCCCTTGTGGAGCTGACGTTGCTCTGTGAGAGCAGGGGAGTGCCAAAGCTGGAGGGTAGCTGCTTAGGACCTCTTTAGTCCCTGAGGAGAAGTGTCCAAACCAACCAGGTTGGTCACAGCCGATGGGTTGATCTGCAGAAATGCCACAGCTCATTCCTAGGTGTTACCTCCCTGTGCCTCAGTTTCCTCAGCTCTGCCATACTGGTGAGGTTGATGGCAGTGGGAGGCACAGAGATCCCTCCTGTGCCTGTACAGCACCGAGCACAGCCTGGACATGAGGTCTCAGATCCAACACAGGAACCTTCCTAAAGGC